GGGATCTCACTTGCAGAGATCATTCATTTAGGTTTCTGTGTGTGTGTGTGTGTGTGTGTGTTTTCCCCAGAGTGTCTTGGCTTTCCATGCCTGAAATACTCTCATGGGCTCTTCAGCCAGATCCAAATGCCGTAAGGGCTGATTCTGAGCCAGATACACTGTTTTTCAAACATGAATTAGCCTTGCATTCTTAGGATGAAACTATCTTGGTCAGATAAGTTATTATTCTTATTTATTGCTGGATTTTATTTGCTTAATATTTATTAAAGGATTTTTGTATGTAGGCTCATGATGGATATTAATCTGTAGTTAATTTGTATGTCCTTGTCTGATATTGGCATTATAGTAATGCTAATTTCTTATGAGTTAGGAAGCATCTTCTATTTTCTGGAAAAAATGTGGTGTAGGTTTGGTATTAATTATTTTTTTTAAGATTTATTTATTTTAAAAGTAGAAAGACAGAACTAGAGGGACAAAGAGAGAGATATTCCATCTGTTGGTTTACTTAGCAAATGCCTACAATAGCCAGAGCTGGGCCAGGCTGAAGCCAGGAGCCTGGAACTCCATCCTAGTCTCCCCAAGGGTGGCAGGTATCCAAGTACTGGGGCCACCATGGGCCGTCTTTCCAGGTGCATTAGCAGGAAGCTGGGACTAAAAATGGAACTTAGATATGGAATGTGGGCCTCCTAAACAGCCGTTCAGCCTGCTGTGCTGCAACACCCTACAAAGTGTTAATTCTTTAAAATTCACCAATAAAACTATATGGATGAGGAAATTTATGTTTTGGAGTTTTTAAATGAAATGAATTCATTTACTAGGACTACTTAGGCTATCTATTTCATCTTTGGTGAGTTTTGGTAATCTGAGGTTTTTGATGAATTGGTCCACTGAGTATAAGTTGCTCAACTATGGTACTTGTAACATTCTGTTATTTTCCTTTAATGTGTGGGGGGTTTGTAGTGATTGTTTCTTCTTCAACCCCTGATATTTGTAATTTATGTCTTCTCTCTTTATTGGTTGTCAGCAATTTGCTGACATTATTGGCCTTTCTATAAAATCAGCTTTTTATTTTATTTTCTCTAATGTTTTTTGTTTTCAATTTCTTTGATTTTTGATTACTATTATTTCCCTCCTACTTATGTTGGTTTCATTTTCTTCCTTTATAGTTGCTTGAGGTAGGAGCTTATTGTATGAGACCTCTTTTGATTTCTGATGTAAGAATTCAGCACAACAGATGTCCTTCTCAACACTGCTTTAGTTGTGTCCCACAAAACTTGATACATTGTGCTTTCATTTGCATTCAGTTTAATTCTGTTATGTCAGAGAACACTTTCTGTATCATTTTAATTATTTTAAATTTGATGAGGTTCATTTTATGGCCCAGGATATCTGCATATTTCACATGCACATAAAGGGAAACAAAAGATGTATCCTGCTATTGGGAGTATTTTCTGTATATATATATATATATATATATAAAAATTATATACTGTTAGTTGCTAGTGTTGCTCAAACTTTGTATATCCTTGTTGATTTTTGGTTGTTCATAAGTCCTACCAGTTGCTGAGAGGGACATGTTGAAGTTCTCAATTATAACTGATAATTGGTCTACTCCTTTCCTTTCTATCAGTTTTTAATTTATTTTCATTTGTTTGAGGGTGGGGTGGGGAGAGAGAGATCAACCTCATGGGATCCAAGGCAGGAGCCAGGAAAAAATTCCACTGCCTCCCATTTGGGAGGCAGGAATCCAATTACTGGAGCCATCAGCACTGTCTCCCAGGGTCTGCAATGGTGAGAAACTGGATTCAGGAGCCAGAGCCAGGATTTGAACCTGGGCACTCTGATGTGGGACATGAGCATCTCAATTGTTAGAATTAATGCCTACTCCTCTGTTTTTGTTTTCCTTATTTATTTTGAGGTCTTATTTTTTGATGCATTCACATTCAATAATATGCTTCCTCATGGTTTAATTCATTTTATTATTGGGTTATTTCCCTCTTTATTAAATTTCTTTGTTTTTTAGCCTACCTTACATTTAAAAAGCCACTCCTACTTTCTTTAAAATTAACATTTGGGGCCGGCGCCGTGGCTCACTTGGCTAATCCTCCGCCTGCGGCACCGGAATCCCATATGGGCACCAGGTTCTAGTCCCGGCTGCTCCTCTTCCAGGCCAGCTCTCTGCTGTGGCCCGGGAGTACAGTGGAGGATGGCCCAAGTGCTTGGGCCTTGCACCCTCATGGGAGACCAGGAGGAGGCACCTGGCTCCTGGCTTCGGATCGGCGTAGCTCCGGCCGTAGCGGCCATTTGGGGGGTGAACCTACGGAAGGAAGACCTTTCTCTCTGTCTCTCCCTCTCACTGTCTGTAACTCTACCTGTCAAATAAATAAATGATCTTTAAAAAAATTAACATTTATATGGTCCATCCTGTTATTTTCTGTAAAATTATGCCAATGAATTGGAAGTGATTTTTTGTAGACAGATATACAGTTATTATTCCGACAATCTGTCTTTTGATTTGTTCTTACTCCTATGCTGTTCTTTTCTTGTCTTCTTGTGAGTTACCTGAACTTTTTTTAGGATTCCATTTTGGCTTTTTATAAAAGTGTTTTTGAGTATAGCTCTTTGTACAGCTTTTGTAATGGTCACCGTGGAAATCACAAATACACGTATGGTTATCACAGTGTAAAGACATCTATATTTTACTACTTCAAGTAATATGTGGAAACCTTGCCTCCACTCAGGGCCCCTTACTCTCTCCACTTATAAATATCATTGTCTTGAGTATCAGCTGTTGTAATTTTTGCTTCAATCATCACATAAAATTTATAAAACTCATGAGGAAATGAATAGTCTATTTTTTTTTTTCAATTCCTTCTCTCTTCTGGGTCCTTCCAGATTATTTTATCATTTCTTTTCTGTTTGGAGACTGTTATTTAGTCTATCTATAAGGGTAGGCCTGCTAACTGTAAAATCTTTTTAGTTTTCCTTTACTTAGAATGTCTTTATTTCTCCCTTTTTATTGTTAAAGGACAGTTTCACCAGAAATTTATGATTGGCAGTTGCTTTCATTAGCACTTGAAAAAGTGACAAGTTTTTTTCTCTGTCTTCCATGGTTTTAGATGAAAAAACCCACTCTAACTTGAATTGTTGTTCCCCTACAGGAAATACATGCTTTTTCTAGTTTCTTTCATGTTTTTAACTCTTCTTTATCTTTCAACAGTCTCAGTTTCTTTGATTTTTGATTACTATTGTTTCCCTCCTACTTATGTTGGTTTCATTTTCTTCCTTTTTAGTTGAATTGATTTCTTTGGATTTTACCTATTTGGGGTTTTCTCCTCTTCCTGAATTAAAGTGTTTATATCTTTTGCCAAATTTGAGGAGTTTAGCTATTATTTATTGGAATTCAGTCACACTCTTTTTCTTCTGGAAGTACAATGACAAGAATGTTGGATCTTGTATTACTGTCTTATAGGCCCCATTTTCTTTTCAGTTAATTTTCTCAGTTGTATATATTGGTAAATTATATTATTCTTTCTGCAAGATTACTGACTCAATAATCTATCTTCCTCAGGCTACTAATGAGCCCATCCAGTGAAGATTTTATTTCTGTCATTGTATTTTTCAGTTCTATAATTAAAAAAAGAAGATTTTACTTATTTGAAAGGCAAAGTGAGAGAGGAGGGAGGGAGGAAGGGAGATAGGGAAGGAGGGGGAGGAGGAGAGAGAGAGGGGGAGAGAGAGAGAGAGAAGGAGAGAGAGGAAGAGAGAGAGAGAGAGAGAGAATCTTCCATCCATCACTCCTCAAACAGCCACATCAGTTGGGGATGGGCCAGGTCAAAGCCAGGAGCCAAAAAGTCCATCTGGTCTCTAACATGGGTGGCAGGGTTCCAAGTACTTGGGCCATCTTCTGCTGCCTTTCCAGGCCTATTAGCAAGGAACTTGGACTTTCAGCAGTGCCACCAGGACTTGAGCCAGCACACTGTCACAGGAAGCTGGCATTGTAGGCAGTGGCTTAAACTGCTGAGCCACAACCCAGTCACAATTCTATAATTTATATTTGGTGTGTTTTTATAAGTTCTACCTTATTGCTGAAATTTTATGTTTTTAAAACTTATTTCAAGAAAAATTGTGAATGCTTTAAATATTCTTTGGAAAATTTTAAAGTTCGATTTATCTTAGCATTGACATTAGCTGACTTTCTTCACTCTTGGTACGATGAGTCTTTTTAGAAACCATTCTGGACACGTTTATTGTTAGGAAATTCTGGGGCAATTTATTTTAGAAAGTAGTCACTCTGTTTATGTTCAACATATAGGTTCTGGCCTACTTTTGTGGGCTGATCCCAATGACAGGTTAGTTTTCAGAGCCTTTCAGTGTGTGTATGTGCTGTTTGCAGGGAAGGTTTTAGTGCCATTGCGGCACACAAAGGTTCCTGCTGGGGCTTCCTGAGGAGATACAAGGGATTTCCCCATTCTGGGCCTTATTCTAAAAGGAGTGAAGCCTGGATCCTGCAGGGAGCAAGAGGCTTCCCTAGACAGAGGCTTCTTGAGGCTGAATCCTCCCAGCCTATGTCAGATGGGTAGCACTTCCGCTCAGGGCACTTGGGGCAGGAGTCCCTACTCCATGTCTCTTGGTGGGTGAGGGTCGTCTCCAGTCCACCAGGACAAAGGGGCTTTCTCTATTCAGTTTCTTACTGTGCTTATGTCTCTTTTGCCAGCTCTGCCCAACGGCTTGAAGACTCCCAGCAGCAGAACAGAGTCTCAGCCCCACTGGGACAAAGCAGATTCCTAGGCTATGCCATTTCTTTGCTGACCAAGGACCCTTTTTCTAGGGCCTCCTGGCTGCAAGCATCTCTGGATAAGGGAAGCTGGTCTCAGGCCTTCAACGACACCTGCTGTAGCCAGGTCCCACCTGATAGTGCTGCCCAGACGCCTTAGCAGGGAGGGAGATGAGGAGGGGAAGAGGATGGAATCTGGCTGGCAGAAGAGGAGTTTGCTCACCTTAGACACTTCGTGTTGGTGTGGCTCCAATCAACCCACTTGTCAGTGGAACTTGGCTGTCTGGTTTTGCTGGACAGACTATTAGTTACTTTCTGGTGCTGGGTTGGGTGGTCTTCTGTTGGATACAGGACATGGGATGTTGTGCTGCTGTGTTGATTCCCCCATAGAGTCCCCAGCCAGTTCACCTTCTTAGTACCATCTTTGGAGTTCTTTTGTTACCTCTTATATTATTTCCAAGGCTAGTGGTTGTATTTAGCAAAAAGGAGCAGATAAAAACTACTCATTGCCCTTTTGATGTCTGTCAATGGCAGTACCAAAAGACACTTGAAATGCTGTAATCCCAAAAATCACAATCCTGGAAAATTAAGACCCTCAATCTTCAAATCGTGAAAGCCAAAATCCTGAAAACTGTAATTCCTATGGGTGAAAAGAGTTTCTGGGAAGCTATATGATACAGGAGTGATGAAAAATCCATTCAAAAAATGCATCATTTATCTGCATTGGCATTCCTTCCAACAGATGAAATTCCAAAAGCTTTTAATACATTGAAGCTGCATTTGACTGAAGAAGCCACTGAAGTTACTGACTGGTTTGAAAATAATTATGTAGGATAATAAGACACTAGAGCAGCGATGTTGTTGTTGAAAAATCAGGATTGTCTGTCCCATATTTGAGATCTGTGTATGAGTGCATGTGGAATCAAAACAACATAGAAGCATGACGCAGAAGATGGGAAAGTTTAATCAGGAATCCTCATGTCAGTTATAATGAATCATGTGGGAATTTCCAAAAAATCAATGTGAATGCATTCTAGGGGAGAAAAAAAGAAGAAAAAGACATTGTGACACAAAATTTCAAAACACAGTTAATGATCATGGAAGTCAGTCAGCTCCCAGAGGCTATCTCCATGCAATTGCCCATTATCCATCCCCATAATGCGCTTGTCAGTAGGTTGAGCTGTTTTTTTCCTTTTTTGTTTTCTTTCTTTTTTAGCATCTTCCCCACACTATTTTAATTTTTCACCATTATTTTTAGAAATTTGCATCATTTTCAATGTCAGAGGCATACATTGTGCAAAGATGCTCAGGAAGTTCTAATCTGTGTTGCACATTTTTGGCAAATTTGACTCCAACACAGTGTGTTACCGCAGCACTGACTTTGTAAACATTGTGTGTGTGTGTATTATATATAAATGCTCAGACTTACTCAGGAGGTGTTGAGATGTCCTTTGTGAATGCCTGCAATCAAGTGAGATAAAATTCTTGGAGACCTCGGTTCTTTGGATGACTACGTAAGTGGTGATGGGATCAACATCATCAAAGACTAAGGTTGTCTATCATAATGCTTCAGATGACCAATTATTTTTATTACTATTTTTTATTTTTAAGAAAATTGATTTATTTGATAGGCAGAGTGACCCAGGTAGGGAGACAGGTCTTCTATCTGCTGGTTTACTCCCCAAATGGTTGCAACAGCCAGTGCTGGGCCAGCCCAAAGCCAGGAGCCCAGAACTCCATCCAGGGTAGCAGGGACCCAAGTACTTGGGCCATCATCAGATGACCAGTTATAAAGCTGGGTGCACACAATTACCAACCAGAGTGAAATGCATTTATACATTTTGCTTGTTCACTATTTCTTTATAAATGCATGTGACTGCTATTACTACACCTGATTGTTCATGCTTATGGAAATATGTGCTGTTATTGCTTGTTCTATTGTGTAAAGTGGCCTATGAAGTGTTCCATAATTTTTTATATTGTCTCAAAATAAAGCCCCTTTAAAAATCAAATAAATGTCTTTTAAAGAAGTTTTAAACTATTTTAGCCAAAATCATGTTTTTGTGAGTTTGATCTTTTGGGACTTTAGACTTTAGGGATTTTAATCTGTCAGGGTTTCAACATTTGGGATTATAGCATTCTGGATAGTTTTCTGGGAATTATGGCCTGAACCCACCTTGATCTGCAAGAAGTCACTAAGTGATTCTGACAAAGGTGTAAACACAATCAAGTAAGGAAAGGCTGTTATTCAGCAAATACTACGGGGGCAATTGGATGCCTCAGTGCAAATTAAGCTTTAACCTATTCCTTACATCCTATGCAAGAAATGAACTCAAAATCCATGCTAGATCTAAATAGAAAATCTAAAAGCATTCAAATTTTAGCCAAAAACAAAGGAGGGAATCTTGATATGGAGTCTGAAAAAGAGTTTTTAGACATGACACTAAAAATACAATTTTTTGATAAACTGGACATCATCAAAATTAAAAAGTTTTGAACTGAGAAAGATACACAGAGAATGAAAAGACAAGGTACAGATGAGCCACAAATCTAATACAAGACTCACAGCCAAGAAATATTAAGAGTTATCAATATTAAAGAGTAAAACAAATAGCCTGATTTAGAAAATGTGCATTAGACTTGAATAGACACTTCAGCAAGAGGATATCAGGATGGCAAATAAGTAACATCATTAGCTATTAGGGAAATGCAAATTAGAACAATGATGTGACACTATTTGCATATTAGAATAGCTAAAAAATACTGACAATACCAGTGCTAATGAGAATGTGGGGCACGTATAACTCTCCTACATTGTTGATGAAAATCCAAAACACTATCACTACTCTTCAAAGGTTTGGCAACATCTTCTGAAATAAAACATACAGTTATTATATGACCCAGAAATCCCACTTCCATGTATTTACACTAGACAAATTAGAACTTACATCTACACAAAATTCTGTACCTGAATGTTGAGTGCAGCTTGATTTACAATCACCAAAAACTGGAAACAACTCCAGTGACCTTCAGCAGGTGAACTGATATATCGTACTACATCCATACAATGGGATTCTGCTCAGAAGGAAAAAGAAATAAATTACTGATGCACGAAAGAGTTTGGAATAACCTCCTCATGCTGAGGAGGAAAAAAAAAAAAAACAGTCTCAAATTTCCATACCGTACAATCCCATTCACAGGGCATTTTCAAAAAGACTAAACTGTAGGAGCAGAGAACAGATTGGACAATACCAGGTACTTGGCTTCCTGCAGCAATGGAAGTGTTTGACATCCTGATTGTAATGATGGCTACACAAATCTTTCTTTCAAATTCATAGGATTGTATATAGAAGTACATTTTATGGTATAGTTAATCTAAAAAAATAAAAATTTGCCATGTATCCATTCTATGTTTGCATGAGAGTTATGATTTTCCTTTTATATATATGATATTTTAACACTACAAATAGTGTGACTCATTCCAGGCACTTTGCAGGTATGATTTGATGAACTACAGTCCATTCCCTACTCTGTACCCCTTCCTCAAACATCACATCCTCAACTTAGACATATTGGTGTCAATGGACAAAATCATCATTTTGCTACAATATCCCCGGGCTAATGTGTAACATCGTTTCTGCCATCTGTACCTCAACAAGGCTCACTTTATCAAACATCTCCCGAGGGATCGCTACTAGCCGAGAGCTGGGACTGGGCGAATATTGCCTGTGACGTTAGAGGACCCTCCGGGAGGAAGTGGGAGGATTTCCTCACCCATTCCAAGAGCAGCTCTGCAAGGAATTCACAGACACTGAAAATGCAAGATGCAAGGATCACAGAGTCACAGCCTCCTCACTTCACGGCAGGCACAGCTTTTGCTTTTTTTCCTTAACAATTACCAATGTACAAGTCTAAAATGTGGTACTCTCAAAGATGCATTTCCCCTTTTCAAGTAGATCTTGGCTTCTGCAATGTCACACAGAGGCAGATCAAGAGGCAGCCACCTGTGGCCCCAAATGACCTTGGGTAGTGACCTTTACAATGAATAAAATGAAGTCCTATCTTCCCAAGCAGTGCAAGCACTTGGCGAGACTCCACTGTAGGCTGAGAAGCTGCCTTGAAACCTTAGGCACAAACACAGACTGCTCCCCTACCCCAGGCCTAGCTACCCAGCTCTCCAGAGTGATGGGAGAAGTCTCCAGAACAGACTAAGGTGTGAGTTGAAATGGTGGGGCTTCAAGGGGGAGAACACTGCCTCTAGTTCCTGACTTACAGGCAATAGTGCTTCCCGTCAGCCAGCCAGCTTGCTCTGATTGATCTTAGTTTTCCATTTCAGTTTTTCCAGAAGAATTTTATCACTTAACTAGTTATGTATACATATACCGTTCAGCTTATTGTTCAAAAGAATCATTACTTTACCTATGTGTCTCCCACACGCCTCTCTATGGGAAGCGCTGTGCCATTTGTCTACTTCTTGAGACAAGATTTTCTCACACATCTTGTTTACAGAGGTAGAGCCTGACGATATCAAGAGGAAATGGCAGTTTTTATTGCACCTCTTATCTTGCTACCTTACTGCAATCCAGGAACGAAAAACAACCAATACGGCACAGGTCAAGAAAGCCGAGAACATGGGGGTAGGCCAGGGCAGTCAGGCAAACTGAGCACCTGTTCTACTAGCAGTAAGTGAGGGGCAGGAGTTATTTAAGTAGTACTTGACACACATGGTGTGAGGGAGGGATCAAGTGAAGTTTATATGACCTTTAGTTGTGTTGTTTTGTTTTGTTTTGTTTTGTTTTTGCCAGGCAGAGTTAGACAGTGAGAGAGAGAGAGAAAGTGAGAGAGAGAGAGAGAGTTATAGACAGTGGGAGAGAGACAGAGAGAAAGGTCTTCCTTTGGTTCACTCCCTTAATGGCTGCTATGGCTGGCGCTGCACCGATCCGAAGCCAGGAGCCAGGTACTTCCTCCCAGTCTCCCATGCGGGTGCAGGAACCCAAGCACTTTGGGCCATTCTCCACTGCCCTCCCGGGCCACAGCAAAGAGCTGGACTGGAAGAGGAGCAACCGGGACTAGTACCCGGCACCCCAAATGGGACTAGAACCCGGGGTGCCAGCGCCGCAGGCAGAGGATTAGCCAAGTGAACCATGGCGCCGGCCAACCTTTAGTTTTAATTTGAGGAAAAATAGAAAAAAATCCTTTCAACTACTATTTGAGAACTATAAAACTTTTAACCACAAGTCCCAGAAGTTTTATTTTTTTCTAATTAAATACTATATTTGCTTCAGCTTAGCAAAGGAACAAGTCTCATTAAACACACAAAACGTAGGTTATGATAAAATATCTAAGCAAGAATTAATTATTTCCCAAGTATATCACCTTGACACCTTTCCTTTTTTGTAAAACAAATTGGACATCTTCACATACATAGTTAAGATTTCAGATGCTTGGACTTATTTCTGGTGTTTCTGTTCTGTTCCATTGGTCTATCCATCTGTTTTTGTACCAGTACCAGGCTGTTTTGATTATAACTGCCTTGTGGTATGTCTTGAAATCTGGTATTGTGATGCCTCCAGCTTTGTTTTTGTTGTATAAAATTGCTTTAGCTATTCGAGGTCTCCTGTGTTTCCAGATGAATTTCAGCATTATTTTTTCTATGTCTGAGAAGGATGTCTTTGGCATTTTGATTGGTATAGCAGAAATCAACCCAAGCATCTACAACCAACTTACATTTGACCAAGGAGCTAAAACCAATCCCTGGAGCAAGGGCAGTCTTTTCAACAAATGATGCTGGGAAAAATGGATTTCCACATGCAGAAATATGAAGCAGGATCCGTTCCTCAAACCTTACACAAAAATCCATTCAAAATAGATTAAAGACCTAACCTACGACCTGATACCATAAAATTATTAGAGAACATTGGGGAAACCCTTCAAGACATTGGCACAGGCAAAGCGTTCTTGGAAAGGACAGTGGGATTACATCAAATTGAGAACCTTCTGTACTGCAAAAGAAACACTCAGGAAAGTGAAGAGGCAACTGATAAAATGAGAGAAATTATTTGCAAACTATACGACTGATAAAGGACTCCCAAGGGTTACTGTTGTCCCGTCTCCTGTTTGGTGCCCTCTTTCCAGCCTGCTCATCGCTGCAGTCCCTTACATCTCTGCAACATATGCGTTCACAATTCTGTTACTGTGACAGTGACATCCTGCAATGATTTAGTTTGTTTTTTTTTTTTTTTTTTTTTTTTTTTTTTTTTTTTTTTTTTTTTTTTGCCAGGCAGAGTGGACAGTGAGAGAGAGAGAGACAGAGAGAAAGGTCTTCCTTTTTGCCGTTGGTTCACCCTCCAATGGCCGGCCAGTGCACTGCGCTGATCCGATGGCAGGAGCCAGGTGCTTCTCCTGGTCTCCCATGGGGTGCAGGGCCCAAGCACTTGGGCCATCCTCCACTGCCTTCACGGGCCACAGCAGAGAGCTGGCCTGGAAGAGGGGCAACCGGGACAGAATCCGGCGCCCCGACCGGGACTAGAACCCGGTGTGCCAGCGCCACAAGGCGGAGGATTAGCCTAGTGAGCTGCGGCGCCGGCCATGATTTAGTTTTGTTAAAAATCATTTCCTGTACACTCTGTTTAAATCCAGCTGTTTGTTTCCTCTACAAAATCTTGACTGACTTATAACTGAAGTCTTTCTGAGACAGATATCATCTCTTAGTCACATTTAAATTTCTATTCATCTTCTTTTCTTGGATTTTTTCAGTCATTCAACAAATACTTATTGAGTACCTTCTGTGTGCCTGGAATTGTTCAAGTATCATAGATACAGCAGTGAACAAAACCTCTGCCCTCACAGAACTCACATCCCAGTGGGGAGACAGACATTAAACACAATAAACTATACACACACACACACATACTACCATCCAGAACAAACCCCTCTCCATTTGGAATAATATCTCTTTCCATTCTTTTGGAATAGCTGGCATAGACTATCTGATTGGATTAGGGTTCTTCAGACATCGATCATCTTGAATGTTTTTTTTTTTTTTTTATAGTATAGCTTGGAGCTACATCTACACAACTGTCAATGAAAATGCATACATAACATTTTACCTTATCAGGCCAGTATGTCATAACCTCATGACCTAAAGTCCCAACTCCCTTTTATCTAATTTTTATCATTACAACATATTTACTAAAGCAAAAGGGTTCAGTTGACCTAAAATTTGACCTTGTGTTATACTATAACCATTTTAATGAAGAAAGAGTTGAATAGTTTGTATTACTTTTTATAATAATGGGCAACTGATGGAAAAGTAGTTACACATGAATTTCCACTTGCAATGTTTTCATTAGTTTTCCTGTGATTTTTTTAACTTTTGTCAACTAAAATTTCATTGTGACTTTTATATTTCATTTAGAGTGCTTTTTTCTTGATTAAAGATAGAAAACTTATTTATATAATATATGATGTAAATAGTCTTCCTAGATTTTGTGTTCAAAATCCCTGAGAAGCAAAGTTACTGGAGGGTTGGCCTGATGGATTTTTTGAAGCATTTTCATTACATAATAATTTCCTTGCAAGTGGTTCTTCCATGAGATTGCTTCTCTTCTAGTGGCTCCTCATTCCTCGGGCTTTTTGGGCACATCTTCACCTGTGGGTTGCAGAAGATGCTACGTGACTTTAAGGAGGAGAGAGAAGCCAGAAAACAAGGTTTTCCACTGAGCACTCTACCAGGTGCCACACAGGAGGCTTTTGATGTGATGTTGTTACTGCTTAGAATCCTATAAACTAATGGGGATGATCATCCCAAATGGCTGGATGTTGGAGGAAAACGGGGGGCCAACTTGTGGATTACACGTAGCTCTGTGTCCAAAAATTGCCAGGTCTCGGAGCCGGGAGTGTCTCAGACATCCTACACGACTGGAAGCAACCTACTCGTCTCCTCCCTCACCTTGAGTTTTGTATCTCTGTCATTCATGTGGAATTTACTGAATTCTGCCTGATATTGAATAGTTCTGCAAGTTGAAACCCCAGGTGGGCTGGGGATCATAGTTTGTATTTCTCCCACCCGCCTTGCCCTGTAATTTATATATTTAACTAGTTGTTGATATCAAAAAAGGAGCAAGTAATTAAACTTTGAGATGTTGCTACACAATTTATGGCTAACTAAATATTCTACAGGATGAGTATCCCTAATTGGAAATTCTGAAATTTGAAAAGTTGCAAAATCAGAAAACTTTTGGGCATTAGCATGACACCACAAATAGAAAATTTTACATCCTGATACTTTGTTTCTTGTACAAAAGTAATGAAGATATTGTATAAAATTCCCTGCAGGCTGTATGTATAAGGTGTATATGCAACATAAATAAATTCTGAGTTTATATTTGGATCCTCTCCCAAGATATCTCACTATGTATAAGCAGATATACCAAAACCCAAAAACATCCCAAATCCAAAACACTCCTGGTTCCAAGCAGTTTGGAGAAGGGATGCCCAATCTGCATCTACTTACCTACCCTCCTAGTAATCCACATACAAATATAGAAAATTATCTTTAAGGGGCCAGTGTTGTGGGGCAGCAGGTTAAGCGACTGCTGTGACATCAGCATCCCACATAGAGTGCCGACTTGAGTCCTGGCCACTCCACTTCCAAACCAGCTTCCTGCCGATGCATCTAGGAAGGCAGTAGTTGAGGGCCCCTGCCATCCACGTGGGAGACCCAGATGGAACTTCTGTCTCCTGGCTTTAGCCTGATCCAGCCCCAGTTGTTGAAGACATTTGGGGAATGAACCAGCGGATGGAAGATCTCTCCCTTGCTCTCTGAATGCTCTGCCTTTCAAATAAATAAATCTTTTTTTTAAGTTAAGTTTATTTCTAAAAGGAAGAAAAGAAAAATATCCTTAGAATTTTGAATTCCATAATACATGCATATTCTCTCAGGTGGTTTTGCCAGAGTCTCTGCAGTGAAGGTCAGTGTTCTGCCTTTGATTATAAACCACTGTACTTTCTGAGGACTAATGGCACAGGAGTTAATTTTGTAATTTCCAGGTGTTTCCATATTCATTTAGAAGTGAAATTCATTTAAATATTGAAGCTCTGATTGAGACAACTTGGCAGCTTTTGTGGGAAAGAAGTCCAAAAGAAAAGCTTCTATTGATAGCAACAGAAAACTACACTTCCGGTATATTATCCTTTTTAATTACTCAGTAAGATTGCCTTCCTTGAAGGTAAACCAAATACCATCTCATACATGCAAATGTCTCTTCTAACCTGAAGCAGCACATTGGGTGAGAAATACTGCTCGTTCTGTAGGTAGCTCTGAGTAATTACAGGAATTGAGTTCTCCAGTCGTATAAAGCTGTCTTGCAGTATTATTTTTTAAGAATTATATACTTACTCTTTGAAATGTAGAATCATAGAGACAGAGAGAGAGAGAGAGGGAGGGAGAGACAGAAGGAAGGATAGAGGGAGGGAGGGAGGGAGGAAGGAAGGTGGAGAGAGAGGGGAAATATTCTATCATCTGGTTCATTTCCCAAGTGCCTACAACAGCCAGGGTTAGTCCAGGATGAAGCCAGGAGCCAAGAATTTAGTTCGAGTCTTCCACAGTTTGGCAGGAACCCAAGCACTTGGGTCATCATCTGCTGCCTCCCAGGTGCATTAGTGAAAAGCTGAATTGGAGGTGCAAAGCTACTGGTTTTCAAACTAAGCACTCCAGTATGGGAAGTGGTTGTTCCAAGAGGTGGTTTAACTTGCTGTTGCATGATGCCTGCCTTTTTTTTTTTCTTTTAATAAAAAGACATTAAAATCTTACAATAAAAAGGTGCTATTTTACAGTTCTAATAGACTTTTTAGTGTTTATTCCTAATTTACTAAAATCTTTTTTTCTCCGAAAAAAACTTTTGTTTAAGGAGTACAAATTTCATAAGTACAACTTTAGGAATATAGTGATTCTTCCCACCATACCCACCCTCCCACCCCCACTCCCACCCTACTTCCTCCTCCCTCTCCCATTCCTAGTCCCATTCTCCATTAAGAAAAACAAACAAACAAACCTGTTCCTCAACAGTCAAGACAAGGGCTGTTCAAGTCATTGCTTTTTTTTTTTTTTTTTGACAGGCAGAATTAGACAGTGAAAGAGAGAGAGACAGTGAGAAAGGTCTTCCTTCCGTTGGTTCACCCCCCAAATGGCCGCTGCGGCCGGCGTGCTGCCCCGATTCAAAGCCAGGAACCAGGTGCTTCCTCCTGGTCTCCCATGGGGTGCAGGGCCCAAGCACTTGGGCCATCCTCCACTGCACTCCTGGGCCACAGCAGAGAGCTGGACAGGAAGAGGAGCAACTGGGACAGAATCCGGCACCCCGACCGGGACTAGAACCCTGGGTGCCAGGGCCGCAGGCAGAGGATTAGCCAAGTGAGCCATGGCCCGGCCAAGTCATTGCTTCTTAAAGTGTGAATTTCACTTCTACAGATTTCCTTTTAGGTGCTCTATTAGTTATCACAGATCAGGGAGAACATATGGTATTTGTCCCTTTGGGACTGGCTGATTTCACTAAGTATGATGTTTTCCAGATTCATCCATTTTGTTGCAAATGACTGGATTTTTCTTTTCTTTTCTTTTTTTTTACTGCTGTGTAGTATTCCATAGAGTACATATCCCATAATTTCTTTACCCAGTCTTTATTGACAGGCATTTAGGTTAATTTCAAGTCTTAGTTATTGTGAATTGAGCCTCAGTAAACATGGGGGTGCAGATAACTCTTTTATTTTCTGAATTCTTGGGAGTGTGTAATAAATGTGCAATCAATTTAATGTTTATGAAAACTGACTGAAAACCAACGTGTAGATATATTTATTTCATGAATAGGTCTAATAAATGTCTATTATAAGGAGATGGTTCTTTATAAGGAAAGCTTTTGAAGGCATATTAGACATGTTAGTTCCAAGAAAGCCTAAGGAAGTATCAGGAAGGTGGCGAATAAACAGGAAGCAAACCAACCACCTCTCTTATGAGGGTCTGCCCCTAAGGGGAATATAAGCAAACTTTCAAATCTAAAACTAATGCATGGCTGGTCATCCAATGAGTGTCCTTTGCTTAACTGGGCTTTTAGTTTACATGATATGTGGTAATTATGCAAAATCAGAAAAAGAGAGGGAAATACACACTTTCACATTCTCTTGTCTGTGTTAGACAACTTCACATGTAATTGGTCTTACCTGTTTCTCATTTCCTCTCTCCTCTTCATTTCTAAGGACACAGCCACTTTGTGGTTCTAGATATTTTGTTATTCTTTGTCAGCATCTCCCCCTCTGTTCTGGTTAACATAAAACATTTTCAATGAAATCAGCAGACAAGTACAGTTAACAGTTTGTTTACTCCCAGGAGCCCAAGGTTTTAATTTAAGAATGGTTGACCAAAAGATAGACAACAGGACAAGAGGATCATGACCACTCTATCCCCCAGTGGACCAGGGATAAGAAGGGGAGTGAGAATGCACATACCTTGAACACTTAAATATTCCATGCGATAGTTTAGGCACTTTCCATAGTAGCTCTATGAGTTAGGGGTCACCATTTCCATTTTACAGGTAAGACAACTGAGGACCAGTCTCATCTGAATCTAAAGTCTATGTGACCCTTTAGGCCAACCATCCTCTTGGATGTTGGGAGCACATTAGGGTCTATGTTTAAGTGTGGAGTGAGCTGCAATAAATGGAGAAACAAGACAGAGTGGAGATGGTGTGCAGAATGAATAACTGTGCTCATTTGCAGTAAGCAGTAGTCAATAGTTAAATTGTGAATATTTAACCAGTAAATATTTCTCTTTTTTTCTTTTTTTTTTATTTGACAGGTAGAGTTACAGACAGTGAGAGAGAGAGAGAGAGAGAGAGAGAGAGAGGTCTTCCTTCCATTGGTTCACTCCCCAAATGGCTACAACAGCCGGAGCTACACCGATCCGAAGCCAGGAGCCAGGTGCTTCCTCCTGGTCTCCCAGCAGGTGCAGTGGCCCAAGCACTTGGGCCATCCTCCACTGCCTTCCCCGGGCCATAGCAGAGAGCTGGACTGGAAGAGGAGCAACCGGGACTAGAACCCGGCACCCATATGGGATGCCGGCGCCTCAGGCAGAGGATTAACCAAGTGAGCCATGGCGCCAGCCCAACATTAATATTTCACACTGCCCCTGAAATACCTGAGAGTATTCTAGGTCCTATGAATATAAAGGTGAAAAAGGCATGGTCCCAGATTTCACACAACTCATTGCTTAGCAAGAAAGTCAAATAAGGATGAGATTTAGCCTAGTGTGAAGATGCCTGCATACCATATTGGAGTACCTGGGTTCAGTTCTCAGCTGTGACTTTTGACTTCAACTTCTTGCTAATGCAGAACTTGGGAGGCAGTGGTGATGGCTCAAGTAATTAGGTTCCTGCCACCCATATGAGAGACCTGGGTTGAGTTCCCAGCACCAGACTTTTCTCTTGGCCATTTCTGGCATTTAGGAAGTGAGCCCTACAGATGGGACTGCTCTCTCTCTCTCTCTCTCTCTCTCTCTTTCTCTCTCTCCACACACGCACGCACACACACACACACAAGAAACAAAAATATCCTTCTTTAACATATTAGAACACCTTTAAAAAACCAAATCAATAGATAATCAAATCAATCCATCAGTCAACACCAATTTGTGCAAGTTATGCAGGAGGATGTCAAAAAGTTTATGAAAAATTGAATTAAAGAATAAGTTTAGGGGGCATTGTGGCACAGTGAGTTAAGTCTCCACTCATGACACCAGCCCACCAGCATCCCTCATGGGTGTTGGTTTGAATTCCACCTGTTTACTTCCAAGCCAGCTCCCTGCTAATGCACTTGGGAAAGCAGAGAATGGCCCAAGTCCTTGGGCTCCTGCACTCATGTGGGAGACATGGATGGAGTTCCACTCTCCTGGCTTTGGCCTGGCCCAGCCCTGGTCACTGCAACCTTTTGGGAAGTGAATCAGCTGATGGAAGATCAACTCCGTCTGTCTGTCTGTCTGTCTGTCTCTCTCTCTCTGTCTTTCCCTATCTCTTTGTAACTGTCTTGCAAATAAATAAATAAATAAACCCTTAAAAAAGAAAGTTAATTTGGGGGCAAAAATTTTGAAATCTGTGTGTGCTTTTATCATAGTTGCATTTTTCATGACCTTTTGTTAGGTCCCTCATCCTTGAGAGCGAACCAATTAACAAAGGAGTCTCAGTTTTGCAGGATAAGTAAGTGTAATAATGTTATATTACACTTGCTAACATTGTATTGTATGCTTGAGATCTTCGAAGATCTTAAATGTTCTCATCACAAAAGAAAACATAAAAAGGTGTCTGTGAGGTGATGGATATGTAAATGACCTTGACTGTGACAAGCACTGCACAGTGCACACGTGTATTAAAACATCATGTTGTACACTATAAACATACATAATTTTTATTTTTCAATGATACTAAAATAAAGCTAAGAAAAATATAAATAAGAAAACACAATCTAAAAACTCAAATTCACCAATGAATTATCATAAAGTACAGCCTAAGGTGATCACAGAAGGCTTAACAAAAACTAACAGAAAGAAAACAAAATAAAAGTAAGAATCCATCAGGTGTATACAATAGTAAAAGCTCTTCCAGGTCTGGCATGCTGGGAGCTTAGACTTCTCTGGAAGATGACAGGCAATCATTATTTCAGGCACAGAAGTGCCTTTCCAAAAGGAAGGTAGCTTGGAGGACGCATTTACGTAAGGCCATACAACAGGCGGTAGGACCTTTCCTACTGTGTTGAGACTGAAAGGTCTGAACCGGGAAAGTAAAAGTGAAAAGTGAAAGGAAGACATAGATTTCAAAGGTACCTAAGACATAGAGTGTGTAGGACTAGGACGGTCATTTGGTATTGAGGACGAAGAAGAACTTTTAGATGCTTCCTAGGCTTAGACAACTGGGTGGTAACAGGGATCAGGTAGCAGAGGAATAGAGGAAGAGGAGGCTTGGGAGCTGGGGAACAATGAGCTCGGTTTAGAACATATTGAACCTGAAGATCTCCAAGTTGGCAGGGCTGGGAACCCCAACAGGCAACTGCATAAATATGTCTGGACTCAGGAGAGGGGTTGAAGCTGGTGCACAAATATGAGTGGGAGATAAAATGATACAGAATAAGAAAAGGAGTAGAGGAAGCATCCTGAATACCTTTTGCAAGATAGCAAAAGGGTTGAAAAAGAGAAAACATGTCCAGAAACAAAGTGACATGGATTAAATGAGGTAAAGATGAGAGTGCTTCAAAATGTTCCAGAAAAATATTAACATCAAACATCAGAGCAAAACAACCCATGCTGTCAAACGATGTGCCTACTAATATTCACGAGTTTACCAAACAGCTTCCTACCAGAAGGATTGCTCAGAAAATTTAGGATTAAGAACCATACTGCTCAATAAGAAAAATAACGTAGTGAGAAAAGCTAAGAATTGCAAGGATCAAAAATTAAGGCTGGGGCCAGAGCTGTGGTATAGCAGGTAAAGATGCCACCTGAAGCACCGGCATCCCATATGGACACCGGTTCGCAACCCAGCTGTTCCACTTCTGATCCAGCTCTCTGCTATGGCCTGGGAAAGCAATGGAAGATGGCCCAAGTCCTTGGACCCCTGCACCTGCTTGGGAGACCCAGAGGAAGCTCCTGGCTCCTGGCTTCAGATGAGCACAGCTCCGGCTGTTGCAGCCATTTGGGGAGTGAACTAGCGGACGGAAGACTTTCTCCTCTCTCTCTCTCTCTCTCTCTCTCTCTCTTTCTCTCTCTCTCTCTCTCTGCCTAACTCTGCCTTTCAAATAAATAAATAAATCTTAAAAAAAAAATTAAGGCTGGCTGACTGTTGTGTTGAGAACCAGAAGAAAAACTGAAATCTGCCTGAAGGGTGATATGCACAATGGGACTGTTTGGACACTCATCAGCCAAGTGGCCTGTCCTCCCCTTATCAAGAGAATAGGAGGCAAATCTTCTCCAGGACCACACGTAAAAGGAGACGTCTGCCCCAAATCCAGCCAATGTTTTGACTGGCCCATGATAATCATCTCTCATGAACATGCTCTGACAGGCAGAGATTTTATTTGACTTTTGTTAGGCTTTTGAACTAAAATATTTTTTAATTAGAACCATATATAGGCAAATAAGAAACGAAAGTCACCCATGTAAACTCCAGCTACTGCTGAGGAGGTAACAAAGAAAAAGCATAGAAGAAAGCAGAGCAATTAAAGAAAATATTATGCATGTAGAGAGAGAGAAGGAGAGCAAGAGGGTCCTATTTGGAACTGACTTTTAGCAGTAACATACTGTTTTAAAAGCATAAAGGGTAGATATAAGACAAAAGAATATTATAAACCTTTTCAGAAGCAATAACTGAGACCATTTGTATAAAATGTTACATAAATATTGTATACATATTCAAAAAGTCCATGGAAAATTGAACTAAAAGAAAATGCACATTTTCCACAAACTTTTTGAAGTCCTCAGTATAAATATGCATGATATTTCTAAAGAAGAATGTTGAAGCTTGAATCTTTAGCTCTATTATTCAGTTCTTATTTCAAAGAAACATGACAGGTGGTAGTTAAGTTTCAGCACATAGTTCTGGAGACTTGTAAATATAATTTATCTTTGTTGGCTCCTACTTAGAGTTTCTTCAATTATCCCAAGGGTCAGAGGCTCTGAGTTCTAATATCCACTGGAAATTGACTGGCAACATGGAATCAAAGGAAGACAGCAGAGAGCCCATTGGATTTGTGGTGTGGTTATTCTGCAGTTTTTCCATGTCAGGCTCTGACCAGTGTTTACTTCCATGATGGTACCAGATACAGAAGAAAAGAAAGGTACCACACCGGGAATATTTACATATTACATGTTGATGGACAGACAACACCCACCCCAAATGTTCTTCTCTATATCCTCTCTCTCTCATATATTAGAAGTTTATGGAAGGAAGGAAGGGGGGAGGGAAAAGGCCCCCATAGAGCAAGGAGTCATGATTTTCCATGGGACAAGGACTAGGGTAGGGGCAGGTCTTCTCTCTGCCCACACACAGGATGTCTTATATTTCTTCACCTGACACCTGAACACTGACTACACCAGCTTAACCCACAGCACATTTCAATTACTTGGAACCCCTGTGTGTTCCTCCCAGCTCATCCACCCTTTTGCACCTTGAAAAGCAACAGCTTTTTGAATATAGGATTAATGGTTCCCTTGCAAAATGAATTTCTCTGGAGAATAAGGGGCTCAGTTAGTGCTAACCCTGAAGGCACTCTGGCACTATGATATGGGAATGTGGCATCCCAAGCAGTGACTTAAGTACATGCTAAATGCCCCTCCGTGTATTTTTAAGTAATTTTAAGGCATCTTTATGTCCTAGCCCAGACATACAATTCTTTCGTCACTTAATGTTTTTTCCCTTTGACAATGTTCACTTCTTTAACATCTTGGAGAATTAAGGAAGACCATCCAAAGGACGTATTTCTTTCTTTTTAAAAATATTTACATGCCGGTGCCGCGGCTCACTAGGCTAATCCTCCACCTTGCGGCACCGGCACACCAGGTTCTAGTCCCGGCCGGGGCACCGGATTCTGTCCCGGTTGCCCCTCTTCCAAGTCAGCTCTCTGCTGTGGCCAGGGAGTGCAGTGGAGGATGGCCCTGCACCCCATGGGAGACCAGGAGAAGTACCTGGCTCCTGCCATCAGATCAGCGCGGTGCGCCGGCCGCAGCGGCCATTGGAGGGTGAACCAACGGCAAAGGAAGACCTTTCTCTCTGTCTCTCTCTCTCTCACTGTCCACTCTGCCTGGCAAAAAATAAAAAAATAAAAATAAATAAATAAAAAATAGGAAATATTTACTTATTTGTTTGAAAGTCAGAGAGGGAGAAAGATCTTCCATCTACAGATTCACTCCCCAAATGCCCACAACAGCCATGGTTGGGCTAGGCTAAAGCCAGGAGCCCAGGAGCCTGGAACTCAGTTAGGGTCTCCCACATAGGTGGGACCCAGGCACTTGAGCCATCACCTGCTGCATCCCAGAATGAGAATTAGCAGGAAGCTGGAATCAGAAGCAGAGCCAGGACTTGAACCCAGGCGCTCAGTAATGGGATGCCAGAGTCCCAAGCAGGGTCTTAACTGCTAAGCCAGATGCCTGCCACCAGTGGTGGTATTTCAGTGACAGCTATGTCGGAAGCCATAGTACTTTAAGTAAATGTACACCAATAAATTCCCAAAGGCCTTGTCTTGTGTGGGTGTTGGGGAGTGTTGGGGGAAAATTGAAGGAATACACAGGAACACATTCCATCATTTTAGATTCTCTTGAAAACTAAGAAAAATTGGGTCATCGAGATACAGAAATTTCCATCAGAAGCACCTGAGCTCTCGGTCTTTTTTCTTTGATTTAGCTTCTTCCTTTTTCCTGCACGAAAGCATATTTCGCCTTGGCTCATTTATATCTCTACCGTCTGCTTTTTTCTTTGCTTTTTATGGAGACAGTAAAGGGAAGTACATTAAAAAAAAAAAAAAAAACCTAGCTGTTTAAAACACCAAAGATCCTAGCAGTGGAAGACAGCTTTTACTAAATTGAACATAAAAGCCAGCACAGAAAGGCAAACCACGCACGCACAGTTGAGAACAACTCGCAGCATATGTGCATATCTGCCCATAATTTGCTTTGTGCAGCCCTGCTTAAATCTAAAAAGAAACCCTGAGATTAATTTATTATAGTGGAAAGTCAAACTATTATTCTTACCTAAAAAAGGTTCTTTCTAGAAATACAGTGAGGAATGTGTACTCCTTTTTAAAAAGGAATTGCATTGATTTTGTTTCCTTCAAACTCTAGACATTGTTTTATTTTTCACTATAAGCCGAAAGCTGTCATATTTTTAAAACACATTTCAGTTTCTTAAGTAGCATTGCATTATCTGAATGAATGGGACAGAAGTCAAACTGCTTTGTTGTAAAATCCAGAATTACAGGACCATATGTTACCACAATAATTTAAAAATATTTTCTGATACTTACTATCACTAGCCTCCATCCAGTTGGAGTTTAATCAAGTTTAAAATGTAAATGGAAAAAATTGAATATGGGGATGTATGAAAACATCTGTTTATACCATCTGATATACGTAAGTAGAGACGATGTTTGACATGTCAGGTGTCGCTCATCTATTACAAAGTCCTCACTGTCTTCTTCCTCCATATTTCTCAAATCTCTCCTCTTCCACCAAATCCAATCCATGCCCTCTCTCTCTTCCATGTTGATTTAAGTAATCTCCTAACAACAGATCTCTCCTCTCCCCTTCCAGTCTTTCCTCCATCTTATAGCAAAAATGATCTTTTAAAATTTACAATGAAATCGTACTGCTCCCTGACTTTAAACCTGTATGGCTTCCCATCGCTTAGGATAAAGCCCTGCTCATGTCACATGGGCTCGCAGGCCCTGCATCAGGAGCCCCTCGCTCCCTCTCGGGTTCCATGCACCCCATTCCACCTCTCCCTACTGCCCTGTGCCTCAGGCCTCCCCTGCAGCCTCCCGGATGCCAGGGTCTTTTTCACGGTGGGGTATTCCCACATGCTCTTCCCACTTCCTGGCACGCTATTCCCCCTGCCCCAGATAATTCCTATTCGCCTCCCGTCATTTTGTACAAATCTCTCTTCCCCAGGGAAGCATTTCTTGATTTCAAAACTAGGACTTTTTTTTTTTTTACATGAGCTGAGAGCATTTGTTTGCTAAATACATGCATCTCTTTTTGTTTCATAAATGACGTTTCCACAAAAATGTCCATAGTTAGAGAATCTAAGTAACACATTTAAAATATTATTTCACAGTACTTGTTAAAGGAAGGAATTCAACACACACACTGTTTTATTTAAAGCTCCCAAGTGCTACAATCAGAAAGCAATTATGGAATGGGGACTCCTAACATCCCTAAGAGAAATTTAGTTACGCAAGTGGTGTCTAACTGGGACTCACTTATTAGGCTGTTGCCTGTGTCCATGTCTCTGACTCAGGTTCCCTTTCCCCAAGAGCCCTTGCCCTAGCCCTCGTGCACTCCTGCCTGAGTAAATCTACTTTCTCTCTTCGATCCCTGCTCAGCACCCCACCCTTGCAAAGCTCCTCATGACCATCGCTGCCCCTCCTACGTCTACACCTGACACATGCTTCGTAGAGGTAATGTGTGTGTCTTATTGACACCTGCAATGCAGGCAGGATTGATATATGTTATGATTAGAATCAATTCACGGTGAGAGATGAAGAAAAACCTCTGCAGGTGTTGAGAAGGAGTGAGGGAGGAAAAGCGCTCTGCTTAGGTTTCAGCTTGCAAGAAAGGATAGGATCCAATAAAATTGGGCTCTCCACTGTATTAGTCTGTGTCTCATTACTGTAATGCAATATCTGAGGCTGAGTAACTTTATAAAGAAACGAGGTTTAATCAGCTTACAGTTCGGGAGGTTCAAGGGCGTGGAGCCCACATGGGCTTAGTTCCAGGGAAGACTGTGCAGTGGGTGGTGTCACAGGGGCAGGAGCTCATGAGACAAAGAGAGCTCTCATCTCAAGACAGGAAGCCAGAGGGAGAGGCGGGGTCCTTGCATAGCAAATCACCCTCATGAGAAACTCGGGGTCCTCTGAAAACCACCTTAATCCCTATGTGGGCAGTGCCCTGACCTAATCACCTCCTCACAAAGGTCGCAGCACCTTCCGCACTGTCACGCTGGGGACCACGCCTCCCACACAGGAGCCCTTGGTGGACAAGCAGCTTCCAGACACAGTCCCACTTTCAGCACTCACAGCTGCTCCTGAGATCCATTCACTTCCTCCTCACCTCCCACGCTTCTTAACTTACACAGTGAAGTTAGTTTTACATGGAGTTCCATGAATGAAATTCTGCATGTTGGATAACTCCTTAGGGCTTTATCAAGGGGGTGCCTCCCTTTTGTCTTTAAAGACAATGTTAACTCTGCTTACTTGAGGGGGTCACCAGATGACACCATTTGGCACGTCTCAGGCTTGGATCCTTGCTGCATTTTGAAGTTCACATTCGACCCATCTGCAGAGGCTGGTTACATGAATCAAGTGTGACCTTGGGCAGCACAGAAATCTGTTTAACAGAGCCCACCCACCGGGGAATCCGTGGAACCCGATGAAACAGATGGCACTACTGGCAATAAGAACCTTGTTTGTTAACAGTGATTACAACCATGCCCAGCAGCATGACTTTTCGTATGTCTCTGTGAGTTTTATCACACCCAGGCAAACACGTCTCGGCGGCAGACGTGCTGCAGGTGGCCGGGAGAGGGGCACGTGGGACAGTCAGAGGGGACAGGTGAAAACACCGGCCATTCCCATACACTCTCCTGTTACCACAGCTGGATTTGGAAAGGGGTGAGCAGGATTCCTGACTCTTGGTCCAGCCAGTTTTTCAGCAAAGGTAACAGTTCAAGAAGTGGAGGGTGTTTGCTAAATTGGCCAATTTCTGAGTCTAAAACCATGATCCCCTTGCCGCAGCCCCCAGCTGCACAGTACTGGAATATGGACCCCCAAACTCTGGCTGAACTCCAGGCCTGAGGAAACTAGCCAAGGGCATTTTCTCCTGTTCAGGAAATATTATTTAAAGAAGCTTTTTCACTAATAAGGGAGCGAATTACAATGAACTATAGACAGATGCTTAACCTGAAGGGCTTTAAGTAACATAATTATTAAAGTACACCCCAGCAGCAGAAACAATTGTGTTTGCACTCCACAACAAAATTTTAAAAACGCAAACATCATGTCATTGTGCCTTCATTGGTGTGATCACACGACTCTGAGAATGCACGCTTCCGGCTGTTGCAACATCTGCTTTCCAAAGGAGACCTGAACAAGTGCAGTGAGGATGGCCCAGGCTCAGCCAGCACGTCCACGAGCCAGCGCACTTGTCTTTGTGACTGATTTTGAGGCAGTCAATCAAAGGCTGGGGAAATCCAATGTCATTTGCCTACAAGGCACATGGAGTCGTTATTGACTTATCTGGTCACTCACAATTCCTCACTTGCATACATGCCACCTCCGTTTCAAAAGCCAGAACAGTCTGCCAATAATTGCTGGCCTGCACAGGGCTGACTTTTCTCCTAATAAAACAGGACAGTGGTCAAGGTGCTAGTAACTCTCGTGGTTACCCAATCAGCCAGCTTGCATAGCTGTAGATGACAAGGGACACAGTCTCCACGCAAGCAAACTCACCACACTGTGGACCTTCATAACTGAACAATAAGGACACTGAATGCTGTCTAGTGTGGTGGCAAGCACTCGCCAGGACTGGCTTATTCTCTTCAGCACCAGCTCCACTTCCTTGGCCAGCCGTGTCATTCCTAGCACCCCTTTCACGACCCTGAGCTCATGCCTACTCTGTGACGCGGTGCTGTTTTATTGCTCTGACACTGGTTTTCCTTCTGCGATTATTCACACCTTGCCTATCTCCCTGACTGCAGTGCTGGATGCCACTCCCTGGAAACTTTGCCCCTGCCCCACGACCTCTTGGCAGTCCAGACCAGCAGGTGGCACAGAAAGACGCCCGAACACTGGTGAAACAATGACAAGAGAAGTTGGGTTCCAGACTCCCTCTTATACTGGGCAGAGGGAAAGCACTTAGGTGCTCAACATAGAGACGATCTGGATTCACATTTTTCTGCTGGTTTGTTTCATAGCTGAGAAAGATAAAAGTCAGAGACATTGGGGCCAGCGCTGTAGCGCAGCAGGTTAAAGCCCTGGCCTGAAGCACCAGCATCCCATATGGGTGCTTGTTCTAGTCCCAGCTGCTCCTCTGCTGATCCAGCTCTCTGCTATGGCCTGGTAAAGCAGTAGAAGATGGCCCAAGTCCTTGGACCCCTGCATCCACATGGGAGACCTGGAAGAAGCTCCTGGCTCCTGGCTTCAGATTGGCGCAGCTCTGGCCATTGCAGCCATCTAGGGAGTGAGCCAATGGGTGGAAGACCTCTCTCTCTCTCTGTCTCTACCTCTCTCTGTAAGTCTCTTTCAAATAAATAAAATAGGGCCGGCGCCGCGGCTCACTAGGCTAATCCTCCGCCTAGCGGCGCCGGCACACCGGGTTCTAGTCCCGGTCGGGGCGCCGGACTCTGTCCCGGTTGCCCCTCTTCCAGGCCAGCCCTCTGCTGTGGCCCGGGAGTGCAGTGGAGGATGGCCCAGGTGCTTGGGCCCTGCACCCCATGGGAGACCAGGAAAAGCACCTGGCTCCTGGCTCCTGCCATCGGATCAGCGCGGTGCGCCGGCCGCAGCGCGCCGGCCGCGGCGGCCATTGGAGGGTGAACCAACGGCAAAAGGAAGACCTTTCTCTCTGTCTCTCTCTCTCACTGTCCACTCTGCCTGTCAAAAAAAAAAAAAAAAAAATCTTAAAAAAAAAGTCAGAGACATTAAAACTGATTCATGAAGCAAGCTAATCAACACAGAATTAAAGCCCTGGGCTTCTCCCTTTCAGTCCATCACCTTTTGACATTTATCAGTCTTTTAAGCTTCACAAAGAAGAGATTTTTCAGGGAGAAACAAAACAGAAAGACACACTTGCTTCCCTTCATCACTCCTTAAGGAAAAAGAAATAAGAGAGGCAGAGGAAGAGAAAGGAAAAAAAGAGCAGAGGAGGGGTAGGGAGAGAGGAACCTG